TATCAGCAAATGGGTACTTCTTTTTTTACAAAAACAGAAAAATAAATTATTATTATTAAGAATGATAAATAATAACAATACACATTAAATTTAACCAAGCAGTTAGAGATAATGAATATGTGTCTAAATGTAAGTAGAATTTATAGTTAATTACCAAAGTGTGGTAAACCAAAGTGTTGTGAACCATAATTTCTACCTTCACAGTGTGGCTGGCTTAAAAAAGTGTGTTGAACCATAAACTGTTATCTAAGTGTGTTAAATAATGGTCTGCTTGACAGGAGTAGGTACTACTAAAAGTTTTTTTAACAATGTAGGTCCATAAAGGATCAGGTCTGTTTCTCATCCAGTATGGGAATCAGATGAACTTTGCCCTAAGAGTAAAACGTAAAGAAAAAACAACTGCCCAGTACTTGTGAAACTTTCTCAATAAAAGAAGCTGCAGTCCTCATACACTTTGGGACTTAGGTGAGCCAGCTCTGCGAAGCTGTTGGTCTCTCTGCTCCCCCTCGCAGTGAGTAAAAAGTACAACGTTGTCTGGTGACAATGAGCGACGTTAAAAATGCTTGCGAACACATAGTGCCGCCAAAAGAAGATGTTGAAATAATTTTCGGCATCAACACTAAGTCATTATCATATCATGATGGGAATCCTGGCTTCTATGTTATAACATCATTTTCAGACTATAAACTGCTTTTTTCATAGGCTTTGAGCCGTGTGGCTTAAACAATGGCTAATTTATGGGTTTTTACGGGCTATCGAGCTTCATTCAGTCTAGTCACATAAGACCAATAAAATAAGTGAACATGTCACAATTTACCAATGAAACTGTTTGAATTAAATCATACGCACTGGTGGCGAGAAATCATTTACCAAAACGTTGCACGCGAAGAGCACTTTTGCCCAAGTCTAACTGTGGAACCTGACAGCGTGGAGCAGTATCAACAAACCCCCACAGGTAAATAGCAAAAGCCTTCTTGTTAAAATCCATGTACACGTTAGTGTGACTTTGCTTACACCTGGTATCCCCGTGGCTTGGGTGCGTTGGTTTTACGGCTCCGGTCATGGTCTTCTCCGTATGTATGTATGTATGTATGTATTTATTTATTTATTTTCCTGCTTGTGTTTTGTATTTTATTTCAGGTCATCTTATTTCCTCGTAGTACAAAGGGAGATTGACTCAAACAAAACAAAAAAAAACAAAAATTGTTCCTATGTAAATATCACATCCTTCAATATAGACACCCGCGGCTTATAGACAAGTGCGGCCTATATACTGTATGTACACTTTTTGTTTTCTTTTTAAATTTGGATGGCTAATATTCAGATTCGCTCAACAGCCCGAACATTACGATAATCAGAGAAAGTGGGACTTCTGACTTTAGAGATCATGTAGTATTGTCACACAGTGAATTTCTTTTTAAAAATGAAGTTTTTATTAAAACGGAAAAGAATGTTTTAACAGCTGTGTTTCCTCTGGAAAGATGAAATGTGTGTTGGTGTGTGCTTTCAATAACTGTGGCTGACAGCTTCTGGCTAAAATACATATTATAACAATGGAAAAGCCTCAATGACACACACACTTTTATCTCTGTTCTATTGAATAACTCTCTGATGCTTTCCATATTTGGTGTGAGGGATTATTACAGTTTACCCACAATCCCCAGCAGCTGATTATCCTGCATGTTGACAGCACAGAATTGTGCCATAAGACTTGTGCAGCAGTCAGCTCTTTCTGTGTGTGTTTATGTGGGTGTGTTTGAAAAGAATACTATACTTAATATGTGCCTGTGGGTGTTTGACTGTATGAGAGAGAGAAAAGTAAAGATTTACTTATTCTACATTTTGTTTACGAAAGGAGGAGTGAGGAAACTGCTTTCTCCTTGTGTGTGTGCGTGTCAATGTAGAATGTGTGCGCGCAACTGCAACTGTTTAACTAGGCAGGTGTTTAGGGTTGATACCTGAGGCTCCAGCAGTGCTGATCAACACTGCATGACACATCACCCTGAGAGGGAGACAGTTCCTGACCTTATTAGTGAACAATCTCGTGCAAAAACAGCCCAACACACACACACACACGAAAACCTACACACATTCCCTAGGTTACACACATGTACAGCCTCACAGAGGACACCGAGGAAAATCTTTTAAGGAGTAAAAGATGGAAAGTGTGGAAAGAGGTGTATTTTTAAAGCCTAACGGGATCAGTGTAGAAAAGATATCCTGTTTGTTTACAAATGTAAAACAGAGGTGGGGGAGATCATGAAGGGATGAGATACAGGGAGAGAGGAGAAGAAGTAAAAAGAGGGTGAGTCTTGAAAACAACATGAAGGATATAAGGTTTTAACAGGCAGCTTTTATTCATGCTGGAAGCAGATGCTCTCTGCTTATCTCCTGCTTGACCTGCAGGTTTAATTTAATCTGAGGCCATTGTAATCTGTCTTCTTTCCATTTGAATGCTCTGTTAAAATTCTACAAACACAGTCAAGAATGCCAAAGTGCCAATATCAGAATATTTATCATTACTTTGTGCTATAAAAATGAATGCAAGCTGTTGCTGTTGACTTTCTGTTTAATCATTTCGCAGTGCTTTTGTATGCTTACTATCCCCATAATAAAATATAATTTACCAATAAAGCATTTGATTATATTTTTTCTCCATGAAAATAACTTGAAACACCCCTTGTGTCCTGAGCTGGTCCTCAAAAAAACAAATGTAGAAAAAGCGTGTTTGCTAACATCCATACTTTAACCAAAGCCCAACAGTGGTAAGAGAGCACCTTTATTGTGTGGTATTCAGATAAATAGGATTAGGGATTTGAGAGATTTAGAAGGAATAATCCATCTGTATATCAGAGAGAGATGGCAGAAGCAGCAATTATGATCAAAAGAGAAGTCCTGTGGTTTAGAGAATCTGTGAAAAGGCTGACTGAAATCTCGGGGAGATGTATTCTAAGTTTTGTATTTATTTATTTTATTTGTGTTGCAATTGACAAACAATCACCTCATGCTGTACACATACTCCGTGTGTGTACGTGTTCGTGTAAACAATCCACAGATGGACAGAATTATATATTCACATCAGTCTAATTAATCTGATTTACAGTTTAAATCAGAGACACAGAAGAGAGTGAGAGCCACTGCTACTATGTTTACTGTGGGTGTTAGCATTAAGCAGGAATTAACCTGGTTTTTAACACATGTTCCATTTGAACAGCTGCTCTGGTCTTCTTCCATCTTCCATCCATCGTATTTTGTATCAATAGCAAAGAAACATACACATTGTTGTCTCTATATATGCAGGTGATAAAATTACTAGGTTGAGTGGGCAGCAGCTTCTTTATTCTAAGCCTGGGAGTTTGTACTTACTTTTTAATTAAAAAACCCAGTCTGGGACATGGATGCCTGCACCTCCCACAAAAGTGCAGAACAAATTGTAAGTGTTGATGTCACTTTGTTTCACAGCTTCTTCAACTTAAAGCTGATAGTCTTACACACAAAGGTTAACATATATGGGACATTTGTTCAAAAAAGTCTTTGTTTTTTGTAAAGTGAGTTGTATAACATTTACTTTTCACAAAAGCAATCATTATATTTACTTTACTAATAGCATGCTGTTGAAAACTGTTTGTTTGACAAACTAAACTGCATCCCAGGCAAGTGGTACTTTCACCCAGTTTCTAATGTCCTTCAACAACTGTTACCAATTAAAACGTCTTAATCTAGCAATCTAGACTAAATGTTTTTCAAAAGAACTATTATATTTAGGTTAGGAGTTGAGGAATAAGTCACTAGATCATAGAAATAAACCCAGGAAACAACCATCAGAGCTACCTAACAAACACTTGATAGAGCAATAGTAATCAGTCTCTGTCAAGGCTCAGGAAAGCTAAGCTAATACTACTAACCAACTGTTCTCCTTTGTTGATTGCTTTGATTTAATCATTTAGTGTTAGTTTTAATTAGGAATCAGCATTGTGTTCTAATTAGGAATGACAGCTAGGTGGCTAATCATGCCAGAAAATGTACCGTATGTAAAGAAAGTCACGTTATAAGCAATATATAATTTTGCCAAAATTATGTCATTAATTAACTGAGTGGAACTATTGATGTTGGGACATTCTATTGGAACACCTACATATTACTTTCCATTTTTCTTTGTGAGATTGTCATTTTTACATTTTATATTTTTAAAAGCTTAACATTAATAAGCATTGAATAATGTATCATTTATTTAAAAGCAATTCAACACAACTGCAAATAAGATTTTCTTATTCTTATTTCTCATTTTCTCCCCTGATAATCAGGGGTCCAGAGCCATGTTTTTTAAGTGTGCAGCATCTTTTTTTTCTAATCAGGATGCTTGTCTATGTTTGATCTTCATTCTACAGCAACAATCTTAAACTATAAAAGTACCATAGCCGTGTCCCAGAAAGTCAAAAAAGACGTCAGTTAACAAAAACTAAATTTATTATGTAGACATTTTATCATTATAGATTAGTTAGCATTAAGACTATTTACTTTTCCTCCATATTAGATGCTTCTTTTCAATGTAAAAGACGTACAAAAGGTTTGTTATTTCTAAATAATTCTATTGTGTAAGAAAGGACATATATACATTTTTACAAACATTCAACAGACGGGATAAGAAGAAGTGATTAATTTAAACTTTCACACTGGATCCTGACTGCTGTCCTCAGAGAATGTTAATGAATCCTGTCTTTCACTATTCAGAGAACATTAGTTTTAACAACACGTTTCAAACTAGGGACAATATGTGACAACATTAAATAAGTGGAATATAGCACAGAACTTCTTTTGTTTTTACATTATCACACTGCATTTTAATTAAAAAATAAAATTAAGTCACCATTGTTGGTCCTTGTTGGCAAAGCATTAACGTGATAAAGGCAGGATTGAGGCATAAAGTACAACAGTGAAGAGAGTGTCCAAAGAGTTGTTGACAAACATTGTGTAAAGACCATCTTGTTAGTTTTTCCGACCTCAGCTATGGACCACATTGTAAAAGACACCAAAGCATTAGAATTAGGAAAAGGAAAGTTAAGTTGTCAGCAACACCACACGGAAGAGTATTTTGTGATTGGGAAACATTATCCAGTTGATTCATAGTCTTCTTAATCTTGACGGTACATAAAGTCTAAGCAGTAAATTGTCATCTGTTCCTCACCCTAACCTCCTAACCCTAACCCCTTGTCTTTTCTTCAAAGATTTTACACGGTGAAATTGTCGGTGATGCCTAAATATTGATATCAGACAATGTCATTCCAAAGGAGAAAACTAATTTTGTCACAGAAATCTATTTATAAAATATAACACTTATAACTACATAAATACATAACATTTTTTAAATCACTGGAGCCATACAGTTCAATGAATTTTGGAACCCACAGTGTTATAGTACCAGGTGAAAACATGACATGACGGCATGTCATCACAGCTTATGCTGTTAATTAATGGGTTTATTTAATGGGTTTATTTCTCATATCCAGTGGGCACAAGCTTTCTGAAAAACTTCTTTTAGAAGATGTTTTGACCAAGTAACATGATCACATTTATAAATATGTGTTTATAGCTCCTTTGCAGGTAGACAGGTGGAATGGGAGCTACAAGCTGCCATCAAAACAGTGCAGTGGGTGAGAATAAGAATTACTGTTGAGAGAGGGAAAACACTTTTCAGACAGTGTAGGCTGTATATTACAGCAAACCAAACTTTTTAGGTCAAAGCTGAGACAAGCATGTGATGAGCTGCACACCAACATGATCTTTCTCCGGTGGGAGAAACACTTTTTCCATCTTTCCAGCTTTTTCTTATTGTGTGCACATTGTGCTCTGTCGCACACGTTTCACATACGAGGACTGTTTAATCTGGTCTCTGCCACGTAATAAAAAGTGTTTCATATTTTTTCATTTAGTACAGTGTTAACCAAAGAAGCTGGTCCCAGTCAATATGCAGCCAATGCATCTTCAATGCAAATCTTTCTTCAGTTGTTGTTCATTGTAACTGATCCCAGTGCAGTCCACAGCAGAAAGCAGTACAGACAAGGTCAAGCAAACCATTGGTCTCTTTACATTTACATCCTGAAGTTATTTATCCATGTGCATGTGTCTCTTCAGCAGATAGAACAGGGAAACCATGGTCTTCAAGGTCATCCATATGTGGATGTTAGTATTTGGAGAAAAACAGCAAATGTCCTTGTCTTTCCAATAAAATTTTCAGTAGATGACCTCATAAACAGTGGCTTTTTTGTCGCCGGAACCAGTGACAATGTATTTGTCGTCTACAGATATGTCACAGCTTAAAACTGAGGAAGATTCTTTAGACTGAGGAAACAAAAGGAGATAGAAATGAATAAATCCTCAATACGGAAAATTTTTTGTTGTTTAACAGATTGTCAACTTATCTTTCATTGAGTTTCATCATTTTCATACCTGGAATATGCTGGCTCCATAGGGCGTTCTCCACGCATTCAACAAATTGTCCTTTCCTGTACTCACAAACCATTTACCTGAGAGAAAAACACACAGAGTCAAACATACATTGTTAGTTACTAAGGTATAGTTATTAGAGGACAGGGATCTGATGAAGATACTAACCACAATAGGCAAACTGCAGAGACAGCACGCAGCTCTCGTGTAGATGAAGCTGGTACTTGTCAGGCTTGGTGACATGAAGAACTTCAACGTTGCTGCTCTCCATTCCCACAGCCAGCCACTCTCCTGTCGGACAGTAGCCAAGAGAAAAGATCTGCGCAGAAAGGATATGATTAACATTAAATTAGAATGAGTATATTTTACTTTACAAAAATTTGCACCTGTGAGGTAAAGTCATGCTGTTGCAGTTGCCGCCCCTCCCTCAGATCCCAGGAGCGGACTGTGTTGTCCAGGCCACCGGTCCACAGCTTGGTGCCATCATTGGAGATGTCAATACAGCTGGCACCGTCTGTGTGCCCCTGGAACTGCCTGCAGGGTACACACACACACACGCACGCACACACACACACAGTTGAGTTAAATAAAGACAGGTGTTTAAACAAAGACATTGGCACTCAGGTTGCCAGTCAGTTGGCATGTTTTACAGGTATTACTGGGAAAACGTTAGTCACAATTATCCCCAATCACTCTAGCAAAAAATTATGGCTCCTACTACTAAGTCAAAGTCTGGTGAATAGTGGAGTTGCTTAAAATTGACTTTGGTATCCATTAATCTGAAACACTCAAACAAACTCATTGTGTAAAAACAGAGTTATCTTTTCACCTAACAAGTGTCTGGTTGTGTAAATCCCACACTGCAATGTTTCCATCGCTGCAACAGGAGAAGCAGACTTTAGAGTCTGGGCTGATGGCCAGAGCGTAGCACGCTGGCGCTGATGATGTTAATTCTGCCTTAATCCTAGGCGTGGGTGTGGCCAAATCCCAGATTGACAAAGTGCTCGCCTCACCACCCACTATTAGTGTTCGGCCATCAGGGAGGAGACGGCAGGAACGAATGTAGTTGTCTCGATTCTGACATCAAATAAAAAGTTACATTTTATCATTTATTAAGATTCTATCATTTGGGCATAAAATATATATACGTGTTGAAAACAAAAAATGTTTTGTTCATGAAGAACAGCCTTTTTAAAAATGTTTTCATGCATGAAACAATAAATCTTTCCTAATTATTTATCATATGAAATCTGACTTACCAAACAGTCCAGCTGTGACACTGGGCTCTTATTTCCTGGGTGGCTAATGTCCCAGACTTTGACACAGCCCTTCCCACCTGTGTAGACATGTCGTGTGGGGTTGCTGATGGTAACAGCACAAACCACCTCACCATGGTTCAGCGTGTTGATCTGACGGGCATGGCGAGGGATCCCTGGACCGACCAAAGCATCAGGGGGAAATGGAACAGGCTGCATTTGACCATCAGCAGCCACATGAAAAGAATAGGCACTAAAGATCAAAGGAGAAAATAATGTGAGACATGTAAACAACAATGCCAGAGCAGGTGAAACAGTATACTGTACAAGGAAAATAATTTGATTTTTTTTCCCATGCACAAATCAGTTGTTCCACAGGCGGTGGTCAATTGGTCCTCAAAAAATAAAAGCATCAAATTCACTTACGGCTTTCCGCCTGGAATTCCCGTCAGGCTAGGAGGTATTCCAGGAACTCGCATGTGAGGATGAGGATCAAATCCAACCTTGAGAAAAAAAACCCAAACAAACATTGAAGATCACAGTACAAACACATGCCTATGTACACATGCCCAAGGTAGCAGCAAAACACACACACACACAAATCAATAGTAACCTGTGGAACAGAATACAAACAGTCATGAGCGCAGAGCAAACACACACTTAGGCGCTAGAACGCAAACACGCACACACATACTGAACCCCACATTGACACACACAGTATATGAGTGATGAGAGTTAGCAAACGGAGGTTGTGGTGTCACGCACTGAGACACACATGCAGCCGCTGAGTACACAGGCAGAGTTTCTATTAAGTGTTGCCCAAACACAGATACTTCTGTGAGTCGGCTAAACCTATTTAAACAGTGTAATGAACACAGTGCAAATAGAGCCAAGAGAGATCAGCTGCCTGAATGTAATGCACACCAGCAAACCTGCTATAAAAAAGCTATCACACATACGTAGGAGGAAAACACGTCATAAGTTAAAATTATATCAGATAAAGACACAACACATCACAATGGTTAGTTAATAATTAAAGCATTTAATGTATCTAAAAGTAATTATTAAAAGAAAAGGAACAGTGTCATCTAAAACATTTGATCATTTTCACTGTCCTACTAAGCTCTCCCACGCCATTACATCCCACTACAGTTAACCTACCACTATTGGTGTTTTCCTTGAAAATGCTATCATATTCAGGCAGACTGTTGTAATATTGTCATATCATGTTATGATATGGATTTTAAATGTCTTCTTTCCCCTTCCATCAGCTGTTCATGACTTTTTGCTTGTACAATGAAAAATGGATGAAAACAAGTAGCAGGACAAAAGCTAACACTCAATACTTCTACAAATGTAGAAACAGTGTTTTAGAGCATGTTACAAAAAAACATTCAAACTTTAATTTAAATATGTAGTAAAACGTTCAGTAAAAAAACTGCATCAGACTACACTGAATGAACTTCTTTTTGAAATTTGAACTTCTTTTTACCATGGGTGAACGGCTGTACGCTGCTACAGCGGCAGGGGGAGGCGCCGGACTCGTCTGTAGGTGACATGTTGTGTAGTCCAGCAGCGTAGGCTGCCACTCCAGCTGCACCAGCTAGCTCTCCGTTCATCCCTGCTGCATGGGGTAACATACCAAACGCACCTGGGTATGGACCTGGAACAGCAAGTGGTGTCCGCAAACCTGCAGCTAAGAGGTAGGAATACAACATATTAAGTTGTAGTTAAGTTAAGTTAAGTTGACCTTAAAATAAATTAAATATAATTTTAATATAGAAACTAATGCTGCAACTTTATATATATAATAAAAGTGAATAATCCTTTTCTGATCATCTTACTCTGACACCATTTCTGTGTTTGTATTCTAATCTATAGGTAGATCCAGTCTGAAGGAGGTTGATGTGTATGTGTGTGTGTGTGTGTTTGTGAGTGAGTGAGTGGATGAACTATAAACGTGTGAAGCACTGTTACTGTAGAGGTTATTTATAAAAGGTGTTTGTAAAATCTTGAGGCTATTAGCTAATTTTCTTTGGCAAATAAGACCAAACAGTATAAAGGAATGAATAATAATGATTCCTCTCTACTTCATGTGTCACTTTTTTCAAGTTCCAATATATTTGACATACAGCATTAAAACTTTTGTTTCAGTAAGTTACAGACCATTAAAGAAGCTATCTCATGAGTAAACAAACGGAATTTTATCATAGCTGAACTATTGCTGAAATAAAGTAAATAGACAAAGCCATATAATTCCATGCTTTAATTTCAACGGGTTAACCACTGGAATAAAAACACAGCATGGTGATAGAATTGAAGTAACTCCTTTTGTGAAAATTGCAACATCAAATTCAAGATCACATTTAGTTTAAACTAAAAAAGAAATGTAGCTGTAGGTATGCAAAATGTATTTAAACTTTTCTGTTATGCATTTTTCAATGCAAATAATTTGACAAAGTATATTGAAAACCTCACTCAATACCCTATGGGTAAACATTTCCATATTTAAAATAATTCAGTTGCAAATATTTATTCTGAGCTTACTTGGCGGATGTGGTATCTCCATGGAGGGGGGTTTAGACAGACTGGGTCGAATTCCAGGTGTGGTGCTTGGACCCGGGGTGGAGTCACCTCGAGGTGTGGGTGTGCATGACTTAAGCCCAGGTGTACCTGCCTTCTCCCACTGCAAACCAAATTTTAACAAAACATTACTAAAATATTATCTGTAAATAATACAATGCGCATTAGATCTTTAAGAATGTTGCTCAATTATACCTTTCTGTTGGGCCAGAAGGGAGCACAAAATTAATAAAATGTTTTTGTCATCTTTATTACAATTATAGTCACACAGATATATTTCATCATCTAACCATTCATTCATCATCAGGGTCATACACTTTGACAGTCCAATAGTCCATCAAATGTCCATATTAGGATTAAAAAAAACTTTCATACATCTGGTAAATTTAGAGTATTTAGTTTACCTAATCATGAATGTTTATGGACTGTGGAAGGAGAACCTCAGTAAATGGAGAAAACCCATGGACACACAAGAAGAACATAAAATGCCATTCAAAAAGATTACCAGTTACCACGGTGGCTCACACTGGCTCACACCAATTATTCTTCCAGTGTGTCACACTCACATAACCAGCTGTAATGTATTAAAATACTATACTTTTCCCTACCATTGCCATTTCTTTGGACTTGAGGGAGGAGGAGCTCGCTGAAGATGCTGTGGAGGCTGGACTGCAGGGATCCTTCTTGAGAAGACGTGCTTTGTCTAGGCCATTCTCTCTGGGTGAGGGCAGAGAAGTCCCACGAGGAGAGGCAGGGTCCTGGTGAAGATACATGAATTCAATGAATTGCTGCATAACTGACTACTTTAATAGTGGTTTAATTCAAACTAAGTGTTCATAAAAGACATGCACAATGCACAGACCTCATTTGAAACATCCACCACTAAATTGTCATCACTCTTTTCCCCATCACTGTCCTGTAAAAACAGAAATGCATTTATTAATTATAAATCTAAGAAAAGGTCAATTAATACACCAAAGAAAAAAAATCTATATTATCTAATCTATATTTGCACAGTATTCACACAGCAAGAAAAACTCTTACATAGTGGCTAGAATCTTTGTCATCCACTTTGCGTTTTTTCAAGTCATTTGGAAACTCTGGCCCATTTTGACACTTATCTGAGTTCCCAAGACTTTCTGGCAGCACTGAGTTACTCTGCAGATGAAAGCAGGTGAACAGGAAAAGAATGAAGAGCAGAAGTATATGCAGAGGAATAAAGCAAAGAGGTTTCCAAAAAAGACAGGGTGGATACAAAAGAATATATAGATATAGAAGATATAACACATGCAGGTTCGGGGACAAAGAAAAAACAGAGGTTAGACAACTTTGCCATTATGAAACAATCTTTTCAGGTATTTATTGTTGCAAGGGTGCACAGTGCCACCCTTAACTTTTGACTACTAATTATAAATGCCTCATAGTCATGTACTCATGTAGTGATGAACAGGTTAGAAAAACACTTGCATGTGGTTTAATAGTCAACAAAAGCATAAATTAAGTAGCTTTAACAGTCAAACAGGAGCCTCTTTTGTCATTTGACTAAAGGCAGTCACAGTCACACACAAACCAACACCGGTGAAGTTGATGATAACAATAAGTGGCTCTTAAAATCTATCAGTGCTCATTCTTCCAGCTCTGACAAACTGCTGTGTGTGAACGCAATTGACTATAAAAGCCTGTGTGGAATCAAATGTGTATAAAACTTAGAGTATGTGAGCACACACACACACACACACACAAGCACACAAAGAAAAAGCTGCCCCACAATGGCCTCCTGACCAACGGATCCTACTGTTAACAGATTAAAGCTTCACGTTGAGTCCATTATAGTCTCTGCCTGTCAATGAAATGTGCATTACAACATACACAAACACACCTGCACACATTTAGCCAAGTAGTAGACTTTGAGGGGGGAAAGGGTAAATGAAGGAGGAATGGCTAAGGGAACAGGAGGAGGGTGAAAAAAAAGGTGGGAATGGGAGGGAAGATTAAAGGAAAGAGGATGATGGGAGGGTGTGAGATTGCAGAGAAGAAGAGAAGAAGAGACAAGAGAGAGGAGGAATGAGGAGTATGGAGGAGGAAAAAAAAATCTGTATTCTGCCAATGGCCCCTTCCTTCTCACCTTGCCCTCTTCTTCACCCTTTCGTTCCACCTCCTCTTTTACTGAAAGGTTTTAATGAGTTGGGCACAAGAGCACTGACCTGCAAAACATGAGCAATCCCCCCTTGCCTCTCCTATTGGCTAAGTCTTTATCCCTCACACTAGCATGCACACACACTCGGTGTCATATGACTGCTGCTCATCCCCCTACCCTTCTACCCCTTTCCCAAGCCCTTCCCTCTCAGTGGTGGTGATATAAACACAATGAGAGTCTTTAAGCATGGGATCAGGGGCATAAGGGTGGGGCAGGGGTAATCTGCTTACTGAGGTGTTAAATGGGCACAACAATGTGTGTGTGTGTGTGTGTGTGTGTGTGACCATGCTAAAAAGCTCATTTGGCGAAGAAAGGAAAGCTAACAGTTCAGAAAAGATCTGGGGCAAGAGTCGAGCCAAAGTTCTGAGTAAGAGATCCTAAGCACATATGAACAGCAGAGGAGCTTATCAGACTAGATGGTCAACTGAACTTCATAAATCCAGGAGGAAACTCCTGGATGTAATAATCATAAATAATTATAAAAAAACCTCTATACATATGGCTATCAAGAGAAATGTGTAGCATAAAACTATAACAAAAGTTATAGGAGTGAGTGTTTTTTTAACAAGATGCATTGATCCTTTGTACCATGAAGAGCAGCAATATTCATGATTACACTGGCATCTTCAATATTTTTCAGACTACATTAGTTAACACCATATGAGTACAAGTTCGAATTTGTTATTTTCCCATCTAAAAACAAGACTGTGCAGCTTCTTGTTAATTTGCTGTTAGCCATCAAAGTTAACAGATGCCATAGACAGAAAAAGAGCAAAGCACCTGACAATGGTACTTCTCATGTTTAGGAGGTTTGAGCCTAAAATATGCTGATTTTCCATCATAGTGATGACGGCCACCTATCAACTCCTCTTTGGCTGAAATATCTACTATAACACCTATACATTACACCAGAAGCTATTGTTGTTTTTTTGCAGGCACAAATAAAGGGTAAAGTTACTTGGTCATTAAATATGCTACTACAGCATCAATATAACAGTGAATTATTTGTTATGCTGAGTCACAAGTATATTGGTGAGGCAGTGACTGACTCAGTGGGCGAAATATTAGACTGGATTAAAAACTAAGCCTCGGTAATGGAATTCATAATGGGATACTAAAAAGCAATAAATAAAATCAAAATTTTAAGATAAAAATTACAACAAAAACATTGAATGATTTGGTTTTATTTATTAAGCAAATCAATATGGCAAAGATGTTATTATGATTCTTTGAAATTTCGCTGTGACATTAAAATATCGCATTTATTTGTTTTTAGGTTTTGAAAAGTACTGTGTGCTTGTCGTGCTACAAAACTGTTTTAGTATGTTAAACAAGAACGTGTTTTTTTTTTTTAAACGCCTAAGGGTCAGCTAATTTTAAATGTTGTTTGCTTAGAGAAGGTTAAATTTGTTTATTCATTTACAGGGAGTGCAGAATTATTAGGCAATTGAGTATTTTGACCACATCATCCTCTTTATGCACGTTGTCTTACTCCAAGCTGTATAGGCTCGAAAGCCCACTACTAATTAAGCTTAGCAGGTGATGTGGGTCAGAAGAGGGACTTGACAGGCTCTGAAAAGTCAAAAATAGTGAGATATCTTGCAGAGGGATGCAGCACTCTTAAAATTGCCAAGCTTCTGAAGCGTGATCATCGAACAATCAAGTGTTTCATTCAGAATAGTCAACAGGGTCGCAAGAAGCGTGTGGAAAAACCAAGGTGCAAAATAACTGCCCATGAACTGAGAAAAGTCAAGAGTGCAGCTGCCAAGATGCCACCTGCCACCAGTTTTGCCATATTTCAGAGCTGCAACATCACTGGAGTGCCCAAAAGCACAAGGTGTGCAATACTCAGAGACATGGCCAAGGTAAGAAAGGCTGAAAAACGACCACCACTGAACAAGACACACAAGCTGAAACGTCAAGACTGGGCCAAGAAATATCTCAAGACTGATTTTTCTAAGGTTTTATGGACTGATGAAATGAGAGTGAGTCTTGATGGGCCAGATGGATGGGCGCGTGGCTGGATCGGTAAAGGGCAGAGAGCTCCAGTCCCACTCAGATGCCAGCAAGGTGGAGGTGGGGTACTGGTATGGGCTGGTATCATCAAAGATGAGCTTGTGGGGCCTTTTCGGGTTGAGGATGGAGTCAAGCTCAACTCCCAGTCCTACTGCCAGTTTCTGGAAGACACCTTCTTCAAGCAGTGGTACAGGAAGAAGTCCGCATCCTTCAAGAAAAACATGATTTTCATGCAGGACAATGCTCCATCACACGCATCCAATTACTCCACAGTGTGGCTGGCAAGAAAGGGCCTAAAAGAAGAAAAACTAATGACATGGCCTCCTTGTTCACCTGATCTGAACCCCATAGAGAACCTGTGGTCCCTCATCAAATGTGAGATTTACAAGGAGGGAAAACAGTACACCTCTCTGAACAGTGTCTGGGAGGCTGTGGTTGCTGCTGCACGCAATGTTGATCGTGAACAGATCAAAACACTGACAGAATCCATGGATGGCAGGCTTTTGAGTGTCCTTGCAAAGAAAGGTAGCTATATTGGTCACTGATTTGTTTTTGAATGTCAGAAATGTATATTTGTGAATGTTGAGCTGTTATATTGTTTTCCCTGGTGAAAATAAATAATTGAAATGGGTATATATTTGTTTTTTGTTAAATTGCCTAATAATTATGCACAGTAATAGTCACCTGCACACACAGATATCCTCCTAAAATAGCTAAAACTAAAAAAGCCCCACTCCAACTCCCAAAAATATTCAGCTTTGATATTAATGGGTCTTTTGGATTCTTTAAGAACATGGTTGTTGTTAAATAATAAAATTAATCCTCAAAAATACAACTTGCCTAATAATTCTGCACTCCCTGTAATTATATTGTATTGTATTGATCACGCAGATGTTTATCCACAGAACAGAAACCGTATTGTTGCAGATATTTCATGTGATAAAGTCAAATTGGGCAAAAGCAAAGTTTCTTTAAGATTGAAAATAAGTAATATGTGTTCTTTATTATGACAGTAAGCATTAATGCAAAAAGGTACTTACAGTTCCAGGCTCTCGTTCTATTGTCATTTTGATGTTCAGTCAGAACAAAAACAAGAGAGAAAATATGAGAATCATTGAACATTCTATATGTTGATGAAAATATGTATCTGAAAAAACTGTTAAACAAACATTCACACCATGATTTCAGTGAATTTAAAGAAAACATCTCCTAAAAAATACAATTCCAATATAAAATACTCGATGATTATTAAACTATTATTATAACTATTAAAACAACCTAAGGGCAAATAAAAACATAGGAACAACACAAAGTCCGTTTATAATGGCAGGTTTGTTCACCTATCAGGTGTTCAGGTACTCCACTGTGCGTGTCTGTTCCAGAGAGGTGGGGCTTTTTATCACCACTGTCTTTTCCTGCCAAATGGGGAGGTAGTGCCCCGGAAAGAGCCAGGAGACCAGCTGAACCACCCAGCTGTGAGAGGTGGAGCCCAGCAGGGTGAGGAGTGAGAGGTACAGGGGCACCACCATGATTGTGGGATAGGTGCTGCTGCTTCAACAGAGAAAGAAAAAATTAGAGAAAGAGGTGGTTAACAGAGATGTAGATGATAGAAAGGATGCTGACCAAGCACTTAATTTTGACTAAAGATGGAATTTTACTACAAATCAAATGTAGTGCTACTGAACAGAACATTGTTTTGTCAGGATTATAGATAATACCAATAAAATACTCTAAACCTAATCATTTTACAGGGATCGTCACCCTTGATCTTACGGTGCCGGTCTCCTCACAGAGTGCACTGGATCAAAGAAATCCCTTTTCACCTTTGTTTTGAAGTTTAAGTGCCAATCTCAATTTACAACCCTGTGGCTTCTTTAAATGTGCAAGACAGTGACAACTGACTTCAACATGTTCAGAAAAGTGAGCAGTCAAAAAGAAAAAAAATCAATACTCCTCGGTAACCTTATCACAAGACATTTCTGGTCATACTTAAGTCTTCAACAGATGGGAGAGTTTCTTGAGAGGCTGGGTTTACAACACCTCAACAAGCTACAGCAGTTGACGAGTCAGTGAACACATCCTCTCCCCCCACACACACCCTCCTCCCTCAGAGGTCAAACACTGAACAATGCTGACAGCTGGGATCACAGCCCAGTCTGAAGATGTGGTGGGAGAAGAGAGGGGAAGAAAAGAAAAAATGACATAAGAAGGGGGGGCTCAGGGCCCCAGCTGCTGCCTGCACTGTCAGGTCTTGTGAGAGAGTGAGACGGTTAAGAGGAGAGAGGAGGAGGGAAAAGGGTGAGAGAGAGGGAGAGAAGGAGATAGTTTGGCTGGCAGCCCTGCTTTCTCTTTTACACCAAATCAGGCGCTCGTCTAAGAGTGAAATGCCTTTGTGTTCCAAAACATCATTATTGCCTCCTCAGACAGTAGCCGCGGGAATCCAGGCTCACTGATTTGCCATGGGAAAGGGAGGAGGAAAGAAGGAGGGGAAAGGCAAAGGAGGTGCACAGTAGACAATTTGGTAGGGGTGGTACGAGTGCTGAAGGTCAAACCAACTTTTATCTCACCTAATTTAACTAACCAACCCACCCCCTCTCCCGAATCTCTCGATCCATCCTTTAATAATAATAATAATACATTTTATTTCAAAGGCACCTTTCTGTCACCCAAGGACACCTAAGTGTCTTTAGTTCTTGTTCTGCCACAATAAATGACAAAAATAAAAAGTATTAGCCGCCATGCCTGCCTACAAAAGTTGCTGCTCACACACATCAACTGTTTGCTTGCATGCCTAATAATCACACACCTACATCTCAAGAAAATACACAAACACACACACACGTAATCTCTCTAATCCACAACAAACAGACTGGCTGATGTTTTTTGGGGGGGTGTTTCCACAAATGCATGCTCAGTTACACACAGACAGACACACACAGAAAGAAGCAAAAACAAAAACTCACACATAGATATACAAACAGGACCCCTGATGGGAGTAAATGGAGGGGAAGCAATAGTGCAGGAAAGAAGAACCTGGCTTTTCATGGGATGTTAGTGTGCACTCGGGTGAGTGTGTGTGTAGGGTGGGAGTGGGAGTAGAGTGAATGACAAGCTGTTGTGGGAGAGAAGAGGAGAGGGAAAGACAGCAGTGTAAGCCAACGACCCTCCCTTTAGAAACACTGAAATCCTGCAGTTAAGACCAAAAAAAAAACCTGCCAACCCCATTTACAGGGACTAACAATTCTAATTCAATAATTTCTGCATCAGGAGGTCAATAGAGGTTTACATGCATGTTCTGTCACAAACCTGAAAATTTCTGTTTTTTATTTAACCATTTAAAATATCCACTATTTACAGGAGAGTGATAAGTATATGTGGTTTTGTTTGTCTGCACTTTAACATGATCAAACACAGTGAAACAGTATCAATGAAATAATGATGAAATAAAAGAATACACACTGTAGGTGGAAGACCTGGCAGTCCACGTACACCGATGACAGCATTAAGCTCTGCCATAGTCACCTGTTTCGCTCGCTCCACAGCTTGAACCACCTGCTGTTGATGCTGCAAAACAGACAACCAGACAATGTTGCCAGAAGGAAAAATTAAAAATTTGAAAGAAGTCATTTAATTGCTTTTTTTATTAAAAAAACAGATGTGTGTCAATATGTTTGTTTTCATATTTTGTCCAAAGTCCTCAAGTATTGACCTGATAGCAATAAAAGACTTGGGGGTAACGTGAGATGAACAAACCTATAAAGTTAGACATTTCTTTGTTTGTCTGACATGTTTTGAATACATTCCCACTGTGCAGATGTTCTGGTGCATTAAAAGCAAAGGAAAAAAAACAATAAGCAAAGTCTTAACTTAACTGAACATGTAAATGAGAGTGTGTCGAACTGGAGAGAGAGAAAAGGAAGTGTTCAGGTCAGTCACACATACTTACCTCCTGTGAGAGAAAGGGAATGACTTGTGCACAGATGGTATTTAGTCTCTTGGCAATCTCAGTCTGATGAAGAAGGAAACAAGAGGGGACTGTTAATAACATAATTTCAATCATTTAGAGAAGACAGCTGTTCAGTTACACCAATAAAGCAATACAAGCGTAAGCACCCCTGTATACACAAGTGCAAAGAGACGAGGACTATGAGAAACACACAAAAACACGGCCCTCTGTCTCTTAACATACAGGTGTGTGTGTGTGTGTGTGTCTTAACAAACACAGATATACAGAATGAATAGATTTTTCCCTCTAATCATCAGTGTGAGCTCGGGTTTCCCTCTACCCTGTATTTCTTTTGCTCTTGCTGCTTTCGTCCCTTTTCCCGTCAGCACTTTGACATAATCTCATCAGCTCCTAACTTTATTTGCTCTCACCGAGTATCCATGCCAACACATCCGCCTGCCCCCCTGAAGCCCCGGAGGTGGCTACAATTGGCTGAAACCAGATACCCCACAGTCACATTTAATCAGATAAGGAAACTCATATTACATATCATCCAACCAAATTCATACAACAAAGGCCGGAGTGAAGAGGGATGAGTTTAGAGGAGCGTTGGTAAGGGCTCGTCTGGTGTACTCCCTCTACATAGACAAACACTTAATGTGACCTTAGCTGTTGTTAATTAGCAGAGACATGGGAAAGGTTAGATATCTAATGAATATTAGTTGGAAACACTGACAGGTGGCTGACAGAAAACTTTTTACAAGTCTTAAAATTAGGAAACAGCCTATGAAAAGAATAACTGTGTAGTAGAACGTGTGCTACCTAAAGAACACAACAACAACCTGTGTAAACAGAGTTGATGCTGTGCCCCAGACTAAGAATAACAAAAGCAACACAACTAATATCATGACAAAATAACAATAACGTTACACTCCTTATATTCACTGTTAAAGGCTTTTTTTGTGTTGGAACCATATTATTGTATAATATATAGTAAGTAAAACAAACGGATATGTAAATAAACTGTTTGCGCCTCAACCCTAATACAATGCATGTGCTGAAAATGAGACATTTCATATGACAATTCTTTTAGTCCCGTGGAAACCTGCACACTGACCTGCTCCCGAGATGCTGACGTGTGCATAACCGTAACTCAATCTCAGAATACACCATTTATACCATGCACAGAAAGCTGTAAATAGAGAGCTGTTTCAGGAAGACTATACCTGCACACCCAGTTTCAGAACGTTAATCTGTCTGCCTACAATTATCCTCATACAACAGCTCAACTGATTAGACAGTCTGAGAATAGCCTCAAACGACTAAGGGATTATATCTGAGCTAATCTACCTAAACCAACTGACAAGACTAACAAGGATGAAACAAACAAGGCTGTGATCCTTTAGTGAGACAGGATTACACAGCATGACTTAACATATGCAAGAAAACTAATCAAACAAAACTATTTCGCCATCTTTCTTTTCAGTTTTAAACTGACACTAATGAGTTTCTTAATAACTATAAATCGTTAATTTTTATATCAAACAGTGCATCAATTTTAAAATATTCCAAGGACATTCTTTGAATGTTTTAGCACCACACACTTTATTTCTTTTATAAATACAATGCAATTATTCGGCTTTAATGTAGTTATATTAAAATGTTTTTAATCTATTTTGAAATAACTGTTATCATTTTCAATACTTTAGTCATCCTTTTAGAAATGTTGGGGGTTTTTTTTACCTCTTAGCTTTATTATACTTATTAATTTGAACAATTTTGTCTGTGTAACCCAGCTATGTAGCAGTAACATTTCTTTTAATCAAGATATTTGAGATCTCATGGCTAACATCTGTCTATTTTGCTTAAATTTCGGCCATTTTAAGCTAAATTGAGAACATTTATTTTAAATACTTTATCAGTCAATTGAGGTTTAACATAATTATTAAATATTAATAATTCATTTAAATCATTTAATTACATTCCTGGAAAATTGTTCACAACTATACACAGGCACAGATACCAAGGCAACACACCTTTACTTGAAACACTGTGACTCAATCACACGCCAAGGTGTAGGAACTCTGACTAGACAGTCAGCTAAACTCTCTTTTATTCATGAATATGAAAGACATTGTGGTTATTGTTTATTTGAATTTATTTCTTCATATTTTAGTGAATCCAACTTCAATGACAAGAGGTCTAGAATACGTTCAATATAAACGAACATCCAAAGAGTGAAAACTAAGGAGAAAAAACAGAATACAACTCACGGAACGTAATCCATTAAAAACCTGAACAAATCCGACATACAAATTAACTTAAATAATATATAAACAATACATACAAGTAATGCCTCTGGGAATGAACAGGTAAGTAAGTTGAAGACTTTTCTGGTGTGATGCTCATCTGCACTTTAACAGTTCGCTTAACTGAAAAACGTTTCCCAAGCGTAATTCTTGTGCTTTGCTTCTTACTTCCGGTTTAGTGTAAAATGCAACCTTCAAAATAAAAGTCTACTGAAAGTTATGATCTTTCAAAATAAGAACATAAAAAGTATAAATAAACGCCTGAAGGGCAGAACATGCAGTATAAGAAGACAAAGTGCTTACAGAATATAGGCTTCCCACCTCACACGAATAATTGAAGCATTACTGTCACACAACCAGGTAACACACAGCCGTGCTCACACGGGCAGGAGGCAGTTTGTTAGTCTGTATACCACTACACCATCCCTCAATCCCCCCCAAAAGAGCTTGTTGTTCTGACAACTGCAGCCCCAAGCTAATGACCTCCCCTTGAGTTTTAGTGTGGAAGTGTTTGTGTATGTGTGGACAAAAGGAAAGAGATGCAGCTCCCTCATAATGAAAGAAAAGTAGCTCTGCATGGCTATAAATGAAAGAAGAGCCAAGAGGGGAAAAAGAGACACAGGGGAATGGAGGGGGAGAAGGAGCTGGAGAAACAAGAGACCCCATGGTTGTAAATGGAGAAACAAGAAGGCAGTAAGAAAAGGAGAGAGACCTAGGTTATAAAAAGGGGAGAGAAGGAGAACATTAGGGGGGAAACCTGAGGGAAGGGAGTGTGAAAGAGTCAGATACACAGTTCCACTCTACTGTGAAGCAGTCAGGCCAATCTACCTCCAATTTCTTCTGGTCTGACTGGTCGATAACTGTGGTAATTACTGGTAGATTCTTAG